TTGGCGGGTCCGGGCTGGGGATTCGAACCCGCCACCTTAGGTGTATGTGGCTGGCGTCTTAGCCGGTTGAGCTATAGGCGCTGAGCCAAATTAAATATTCTTAATTTAATACTCTTAAATATTCATATTTTCTTCTCCTACCTCAATGGGATATCTTGCACCCCACCTTGGAGATCACTAAACTTGATAATAACCACTGTCTTTTTCATCCATAGACTTCTTTGACTTTAGGAAAATGTGCGTATGGAACCAAAAGTTCCATGAGCCCTAGAGGAAGGCATAAGATGGAAGATGTTGAGAATCTCTGCTTCAGGATACAGAGGAACAGAAAAGGGGGTGGAAAGGCCCGGTGAGGTCACAAAGCACCCCGTAAAGACTTCCCTGGAGCCCTCTGCATCCTGCCCAGCTCCCTTTACACTGAAGGGCCACACTCAAGCCATCAGCTTCAGTTTGGCAGAACTCTGCACTCCACCAGCAGGACTTGGCCTCTCTACCTGATGAGGCTGCACTGTCTTTCTTTCCTGCAGCCAGGAGATGGCCCATTTTCTAGTTTAATTACTGCCATTCAACCAATAGTTCCCACATTCACACCACTGCCTTTAGCCAGTCACTGATACAAAGCAGAGCTTGAGATCCTTACTGGCCCTGCCTTGCCACTGAAGCGCAATGCTTGCAAACAAAGCTCTGCACACAGGTCGGCTTATCCAGCTTGCCTCACAACTTTAGTAGACCAGCAGTCTGACAGTACATATTCCACATTAATGGTTTTCTATTCTTCCCAGCTGTCCTATTTCTATAATTATCCATTAAAATGGAAATCATTGTTTTGAGTGCTCTATCTGGATATTTTTGTGCCAGTTTGGATCAGTTCAATCACCAATTATTGAGCACTTTCACATGCCAGCAAAGTTCCAGCAGCTGGAAACAGCAGTGGGCAAACGGATGAGTGTCCTTTCTTGTGGAGTTCACATGCTACTGGGAGAAGCAGATATATAACAAAGAAAGATGATAGATAGATAGAGATGATGGATAGATGATAGAAAGATAGATTAAATAATAGATAGATAGAGATAGATAGATGATGGATACAGATAAAGATGAAAGAAAAATAAATAGGCTCGGCGCCTATAGCTCAACCGGC